GCTAGAAGTATAACATTAATAAATGTGTTTGACAATAAATCTTCAGCTCTCACGCATAATGAAGATCTATCGTATGTAAGAATGATAACTGGATGTCGGAGGGTGAGCTTACAATGATAATGCGTATATTAGGATAACTATAGCCAAACTAGCGAATCGAAACAAATGCACCTAAATTCAATTTATTTAATGCGTGGCTTCATTCAACTCACATGTTGAAGAGGAAGTGCTGGTATTGGAGGGTTTGGTTCCCGAGTAAGGCTTGACGTAGTTGCAGGGAAAGAGGCCCACTTGCCGTGATGACTCTATTCGGCCACGCCACCACTCAGGTTCATCTCGGCCAAGAACACGAATAATCTCGCCCTCCTGAAAAGTTAATTCATCGGAGTGGGCAGCCTTGTAATTATAGATAGCTTGCACTAATTCAGCAGGCGGCGAGACACTCGTGTTAGCTATAGCTTCGTTTCCAACAAAAGAGCTCGTTGTAGGAACTGTAACCGTTTCAATGATTATAGAAGTCATTGGGGTAGTAAGATCTGAATGGCTAACTGAGGGTACATTTCGGGAACCAGGGATAGGATTGATTATTTCTGAAGTGTTTGAGGAAGACTGATCTAAACGAGGAACTGAAGAAGAGACGTTAGACTGTTTCTTTCTTGCAGAGATAAATGTAGTTTCGCAATGGCCAACGGATAAGGCTAAAGAGAAAGTATAAAATATGAAAAGCATAATGATACGTAAAAGAAACAATTTAAAATAACAAAAAATATGTGTAAAAATATCATATTTATGTTAAATAAATGTAATGGAAGAATGATCAAATATTTTGAAGAAAATAGGCCTAAAGTCTAAATGCTGGTTGGATCTTGTTTTCACATGTTGGTCGGAGCGTCAAGGAGACCGTGTGGAACTTATTTAATTCTGTAATCTGACATAATATTCATGATTTCTAGCATCGGACCATTGACTTGATACATTCACAAACGTTTCTCCGGCAGTGTCAGTAACAGATGTTATTGTCAGCACAGAAACACAATTTATCAGTGACAGGTGAAGGCAATAAACCTGACCAATTTTCTGATCAACTGTGGTGACATAAATCCTCGCAAACTTTATATCTAACTTCTAGTGCTGCAGCTCGTTATCTCAAAACCACTTCATATCACCTCCATTAACCTAGTTACACTGTTCTGTGCTATCGATTCCTTTAATATAGCCTGTTCGCTTCTAGTGGATTTAATGGAGTATTTTTACCTTTCCCAACATCTTAGGTACCGTTTAGAAGGCGCCTGACTTTCAGTTGACCCTCTTTATTCTACGCCGCTTGTAAATTGGTCGCTGCTAAAGATCAAAATCAATCTCTGACTGTCTGTAGTCGGGCTACATAAAAGCCTTCAGTTCCCATGAAGCACGCGAAAGTGCTGTTGATTATTCCATTTTCCAATCTCCGGTTCATCAGGTTTCTTTGACACAGGATGACCACGGTGTTTCTGATCTTCCGTTTTATGGTGTTCTCCCGATATGGGACCAGTATTTCCGTTGCACTCCGATCAATTGTGTGGCTGGAAAGGGCGATGCGTTAGGCTATCTTCGATACTTCCATAACCATTTTTCTGCACAATCACTGTTGTTCTTTTATCCTTGTGCTGATTATTCTTCCTGACTCTCCAAATTATTTTGGTTTACAGTCCTTGCAATTTATGCTGTAAATACCGGAACACCCATTTTATTGACTTCTTCATTTTATGTTGGCAAGCTGGTGAAAAGGGATTGTATGAAGGTTCCACATCCATAGTATCGGCCGCAGCTTCCGAGCCAGTTAGCATATCAATCGTTTTTCCTCAGTTTCCCATGCTTTTGTCATAATCCCCGTATTTCCATCTGCTTATTTAGATCCCTATTATGCGTTCGATTGTTTTTTATGGATGTCTGTTTCCAAGAAGCATCTGAGCTAGATTTTCCAGATCCTCTTCCCAGAACTCAAAATAACTAAGTCGGAGCCTTCTTGTTACCATAATACGAAGTGATTCCATCTTCATTTTATAAGTATTGTTTGACTAGAAATTAAGGATTATGTCAGATTGTCGTTTCTTTCGGAAAAGTCATTTCTTGAGATTTTCTTTGGATCAAATGACCTCCACATCCAAGAATGGCAAGTGTCTGTTATCCTCCATATCCATGGTAAATTTGACTCTCATCCATTTTATTTATGAGCGTCAGGAAATCGTCTAATTTTTACTTTTCCATGTGGCCAGATTGCGAATAATCATTAAAATATAGCGTAATTACATTTGGCGGCTGAGGCAGCACTTTAAAATTATCCACCAACTTGTCCATATATAGAGTTGCTAACAGAGATGAGAGTGATGAGTCCGTAGACAGACCAAATATTTGCTCATAGAAGAGGCCTTTGAACGTGAAATAGGTAGTTCTTATTGTTAGGTTGATTAATCGGATTAAGGGGGAAAAAGAAATACCATGATTGGCTTCACTTGTCTCTTTGACAAGT